ACAACTGGGAGCGGCTTATTAACATTAGCTTAAAGTGGCCAGACAATGTCGTACAATGACAAACGCCTGCCAGTGGTTTATGGATGAATTCCCTGGACAATAGATTGGCTTGCTCTCCCCAAGTGGTTCCATTCATTTGCAATTGCAGGCAAGAGATTGTTGTTGAGAAGTGGGCAATCGAGAGGTGTGTGCATCTGCTGAATGGAGGCAAAAAACAAACACACATGTCTGCATCGTTAGTCCATACACACATCCATGCACAGCAATAGTTACACTACTGCTGTAGCCAGTGGGGCCTAGAATAGCACACAGGCTACATTCCTCTGCCCTTCCTCCGCTGCCTCGATGAGGCAAACACACAGCAGACTGGTGGGTCACATGGACCAGCAATGATCTTGAAACTGAAATGGACGCGCGCGCGCGCGCGCACACACACACAAATAGGTAAGTAGGCACAGAAGATTTGGGAACATGAATTGTTACACCAATGTTAAGGCCCATGACACACAGTCAGACGTACTGTAGTGTACATGCTGACTTCTACATAAATGCATAAAAACATAGATGACACAAAATATTTATCTATCTATCTAAAATAAATGAAACATGGCAGACTTCGTATTTTCCTAATTCAAACGCATCATCAACAGTATTTATGAAGACAAGCACATGTCCAAATATTATTTGAAAAAAGAAATGGTGGGGAGGAGGGTATTTAAACTGGCTACTGTGACTTGCTTTTTTTCTACGCCCATGCACAATTATATTAAGTAGGGCCAATAGGAACAAAGAAGAGGCAGGTCCGAGGCTCCACCTCTCCCCAACTGCCTTCCTCTGAGCTTTTTAGATGTACATAATCCCTGAGTTGACCCAGAAAATAGGCAGTCGTTTCAAGATCTGATGCGGCAGTCTTTGTGCACCTCATCCGCGATTGAGCATGAAGCGTTACCCCGTGGAGCACATACTGTAATTCAGAGAAGCTTTGCCTTGCAGAGGAAAACTGTTTAAAAAGACGGAACTGAAGCAAAGTCGCGCAACTTTGTGAAAACGGAGCGGATACGGGTAAGTGGTTTTTATTGGATGTATTTGTTGGAGAAATTGAGGTTTTAGTCAGTGGTGGTCTCAGGGGCTGCTGCTGCTCCATTGTTTGCATCCCCTTGTTTCAAACTCGAGATTAACAAAATGGACAATATTAGTCTACAGCCTCGGGATAATTATTGAACGCCAACATTTAGCCACATCCATACATTGGAATCGGAGAAAACCGAAGCCTTTGTTGAATGTTATGCCACGCTAGAAATGTGGTGATTCAGCTGTTGGGGAGATGTTGCATGATGTCAGGGTTCTTTGTTGCAACCTTACGTGCGTAAAATGTAACAGATCTTTCTGCATCAACTGACATGCAACATATTGGGGATTTAAGCAATGATTACGCGATGTAGGCATTTCAACTCAGTTTTGTCGATCCCGCCGTGCACGAATTATCCAGCGGAAAAATGTACCCAAACAATGTATGTCAACCTATAGTATCAACCTGGGCGTTCATTCCGTGGCGCAAAGAGGGGAGGCTTTAGGAAAACTGAATACACCAGGAAGGTTTTCATTATTCGCCAATAGGCAAGACAACATCGCTGATATTTCCTTCTAGAGGCGTTGTCGGTGGTTTAACTTGAGGTGGAATTGTGACAGCACAGGGAATATCTTTGTTTCCTTTCAGTGAAGATGATGTGTTGGGTTACAATGAAGTGAGCTGGCTGTGTATGACTACAGCAATGTAAAATCTCTTGCACTGAATATATATATCACACTTAGCAAATTCAACACAATTGTAGGGGTGTGCGATATTGACAAAAATGATGTCCATAACGATAAGCAAACGATATTATGACGCTACATAAATCAAAAATGGGGTTAAGTTTTATATTGCAGGCTACTAGGTCGCTCTTGTTAATAGCGTATTAATTGTTGCGTAATACTATTATTGGAACGAACATATTTCAGTGTTTCCCATACACTGATTTATTTCTGACACTGAAAGTCAAAATCCACTGATCTGCAAGTGGATAAAGTTAATACTGATTCTTAAACTCTGACGCTGAATGTTTGCTCCTTCAGTCCAGAGTAACATTGGAAAAATATTTTCCAAGATTCCAATGACTTGTCCTCTGGAGGCGCAGACAGCATGGACCAAAGTAAAGCCGAATTAACATTGGGAACATAAGAAAACACACGTGGAATATCTGAACGGTCCAACCAGTGTGATTAGCGAACCAGTTAATTTGTTTCAAATATTTCCAAACTTTAACCAGTGCTGGTAAAGCAGCAAAAGAGGATCAGTAAGAGAGATGTGGGAGAGGAGGAGGACAACATCCAAGTGCAGTGCAGAAGCAACAGGTCAGATGGAGGAGGCATAGGTGTAGAAGTAACGTGGCCTCGTTTCTATTCTTCTGAGCAAAGTGGTTAAAGTATTACCATGTATAACCTGTGGTGGAGTGATCATGTACATGCTGAATGCACGCTCAATGCGCACTGGACTCTCGCATGTTTTTGATTGGGCTTGTGAAGTGAGTGACACACTCAGATATTATTGTAGACAGTATATGTATATCACACTCCCTTACACTATTGTTGGGAGTCTTAGCCAGTTTGATACCGATTAAGCTAAATTTGTCAGTGCCATGTTAGGCTCAAACCCGATGCACCTCTTCTGAATTTCAGACATCTTGGTTGCCCCTTGCAGAGTCCTAACTGTCTCTCCATTCTGCTTATAGACAGGAGGTATGGCAGACCATCTGATGATGCCCATGAATCACAGCTCAGCTGGCGCCAGTCTCCACGGTTACAGGATGGGCATGAATGGCGGCCTGCAGGCAGGTCACCAGCAGCATGCCAACCAGCAGGGCATGCGGGCGCTGCCCAATGGCCAGCTGATGCACTACGGTGGCACCCAGGCCAACATGGAGACAGCCATGAGGCAGCGGCAAGGCATGGTGGGTGGACCAATGAATGGACAGCTGAATGGGGCCCAGATGGGTCACCACCAGATGACTTCTGGTAACATCATGTATAATGGCCAGCCCCAGCAGCAACAGCATCATCCTCAGCAGCAGCATCACATGCATCCACAGCAGCACCAGCAACAAGCCCAGCACCCGCAGCAGCAGCAACAGTTCATGAACGGAGGTTTAACATCCCAGCAGCTCATGGCCAGCATGCAGCTGCAGAAACTCAACACCCAGTACCATGGACACCCACTGGGGCCTATGGGAGGGAACCACATGGGGCCCACAACCCAGTACCGCATGAACCCGGCCCAGCTGGCTAACATGCAGCACATGGCTGGGCCGGCCCTGGCCCTGAATGGCATGGATGCGGATATGATTGACGAGGATGTCCTGACTTCACTGGTCATGGAGCTGGGCTTGGATAGGGTGCAGGAGCTGCCAGAACTCTTCCTGGGCCAGAATGAGTTTGACTTCATCTCAGACTTTGTGAGCAAACAGCAGCCCAGTACTGTTAGTTGCTGAGAGAACCTAATTTTCAAAATGGAACAAACGGAGACAGAAGAGCAAGAATAGTCCAGGGTCGATGTGGGGTGCTCACCTCTTCACTTTTTAATTTGTCAGCACCTTCCTGTACAACTAAGCCAAGGTTTAGTACAGGATGCATAGAAGAGAACACTGGATATCCACAGTGACCACACAATGCTCAAGTCTCATGTGCTGGTGGCCAGAGGGTGGCTGGCTTTAATGCCTAATCCCACTTCTCCCATTTCCTGGACATGAATGTAATAAAGAAATGATGACATTCATAAAAGCCACTCTGAACAATGCTATGACACTGTGTAGCTTCCAAGCCTGGACTCCATGACAGTTTACCAGTAAAAAGGTGTATTTATTTATTCCTATCTGAGAAAACTGACAAAAGAACAACCACCTTCTCCATTTTGGGAAGAAAGTGTTTTATTATTATTATTTTTTGAAAGTAGGACAGGGGAGAAGTTTAAATTTGTCTGCTAATGATTTTTCCCATTCTGTTTGGCCTAGTAGTAAAAATAAGCTCAGATGACAAGGTCATCTAAAAAGAGCCTGGATTTTTTGTCAGGAATGATAGACATGACAGAAGTACAATGTCTCGCTTCAATGGGAATCTCATCCAGATTTTAAAATGGTTCACTTTTGGTAAAGTGCTGCCTTTTTAGATGTAGTGTTCTCAAAAATCTACTGCTTGTTCTGTATGAAGCTGTATACCTCCAACAATGTCACCACTGTTGTGTTCTATTGGAGATGTGGGGGGGGGGGGGTGTTTGTGAAAGGGGTTTTTGAGGATCAATAAAGATGGCCTGGATAGAAGTGTGGCCTGCTTTTCCATTTATTGCATAGCTCTTCTCCTAGGCAGCGGGAAGCTAGCTAAGTGTTTTGGTTAACCAGCAGGTGAAGGGAAAACTCGCTTTAAGTCTGGGATGGGAATCTTTTAAACAGATGCAATATCTATGCTTTTTGGGAAGGGTATCTACAAAAACTCCTGGGGTTTCAGCAAACCTATCTTTTCCTTAGTTTATCATTTTCATCTCTAAACAGTGGCACTGGTAGGAAAATGACTGACATGGTGATAATTACATGATTCTCTGCTGTTTACCAAAAGAGGAGCTATATTAAATGACATGTAACATCTCAGGTAGTGATATCCGAATGGGGTTTACAGATTTAACATTTATTTCTGCTTGGCTGCATAAATGCCATGCACTTTACACGGTGAAACTGTCTATAATAGTGGCAAAATATTCCTTTTTACAAAAGCAGCAAATGAATAACACTGGTATCTCTACAGTTTGTTTTTTGCTATGTATAAAGAGTGCACACGTGAATGGGGGAGGTGAAACCGACTAAAGAATGCTTACTTTGATGGGGGTTTAAGTGACTTAAAGCTTGTAAGCCCTGACTCAAAGACAGTGCTGCCATTTCCCAGCTCACCCAGTGGATGGTCAAAGAAACTGACATCTGGCTTAAAGCAATAACTTTGAACAAATTACTTATGCAAAGTCAAAACAACCTCTCTCCAATTTACACCACAGCCAGTTGGATAACAGTTTTCCTCATAATAGTATTCATTATGAAATGAGGGTAAAGAGATTCTCTGCAGTGGCTGAGTTTGCTGAATTGTTTTGCGCCTCTGGGCTATGAAAAAGCTTGATTGAGGTCATGTTGGGAATGTCACCACCACATTTAGCTTTTAACATTGTCAACAAAAGGCATCATTACCAGCAGTAAGTAAGCAGCGTAACAAGGGAAAAATGAGAGCACTGGCAGTGTAGTTGTTTAAAACTAGGAATAGTGTTTGCTTATCGCTCAATTTTTGAGCCTGATTCTGCTGTTAAAGAAGCCGAGTCTGTTTTCATTTGTCCAATTGTATTGAAGGCCGATGTGCTCAATTTGAAACACGGTATTGTGGATGATCCAGGCTGAAATAACAAAATGCTGGCTTGTTCCAAGTAACAGTGACTTGCTTAAGGGTATGTGAGTGTGGATGTTCTTGGCTTGACACTGTTGAGAGCCTTGGCACAGTGCTTAGTAACGGTTGCAGGTCCCTTGCCCAGCACCAATCTGGTGAGATAGTCTTTTGCTGTGCGATACATGGGGCATTGCTGGCACACTGTCAGAACTCTGTCTCCTCATGCATCTCATAATTGTATGCTGCACTGTGAGCTCCTTGTTTAGCCCCAGTTAAATGCAGAGGTTTTGTTTCTTGATTGTGACTCCACAGACAAATGGCTAACTTCGCTAAACAGCCCTGTTTGTTCACCCAATCCCTTGTTATGGCTGTTGCCTACCTCACAGAGGCCAGTCTAGACGCAGGCTAAGCAGGGTGGGACACTCATACGTTTACAGTTACTGCTCTCTTCTTGTTTTCAACCCACCCACAGCAACAGCTCAATCCAATACTGTCTTCTTGTGGCAAGTTGCTGTTTTCTCAGAATAAGTCAAAGACCAGAACCCACATTCTGGCAGGGGGTTAAGGATCTCTGAAGTTTAGAATTAGAAATTAGATAGAGGGATTTTTTTCTAGTCTTTGGGGATTTCTTAGCTGGGTTTTCCCATAACACTTTTGTGACTCCACTGAAAACCCTTGAGTAAACATCATGCAAGGTAGGGCTACAAGCAATCCAGATTACATTCCTGTCTTCTGCCCCATATCTGCATGTAAATTTCTATGCATTCATCTATGCATTAAGCATCAGCATCTTTCTGATCTTTGGTCTAGCTGGTGCCGAGACCGAGCTCATGCTAACATCAGGCCCTTGCACCAGTGACAGATAGGAAGTCATTTGCTGTTGTCACGCATGGCCAGGTCTTCACATGCACACACACTCAGTATTAGCACACAACCTGATCAAACAGGCTAACAGGGGTATCTCAATACTGGTGTAGAGACAGAGAGATAAACGATCTACGTCTCATCTCTGGTGATTGTGATCCTTACCTACACTTTCAGTCTGTTGTTAGATTAAGGTGGGTCCATTATTAGTGTAAGTGAGGAAATCCCATTTGTAAAAGAACATCCAGAAAATGTAACATATTAAATATGTAGTTATTTTGAAGTGGCGTGACTAAACTTGCTACTTGTCATTGCAATGCTAATTTTCAGGTATGAAAAAGTAGACACCTCAAGAATCCCCCAGTGTGAATAACTGTAAGGCAAAGACTGAAATACACACAGTGAAAGTGAGAGGAAAATACGAGTGTCCCAGATGAGAGGATGTGTTTTTTTATTGACAACAAAGGGCACATTGCTGTGCATGTGAATATTGTGTGAAGAGGGCACATGTTTGAACTTGCTGGATTTAACAAGAGAATTTAGAAAGGTTTTTGGTTAACCTTGTGTGTGTGTGTGCGTGCATGCAGCTGTGTGCAATGATGCGTGAACATGTGTGTGTGTTTGTGTGAATGTGTGTGTGTGTGTGTGTGTGTGTGTGTGTGTATGCTGGCAGAGGGTAAATAAACAGCAGATCCCTCAGGGCAGGGTCCATTTAGTGGGCATGTTGCTCAAGCCCAACTTCCTGATTTTCAACTTAAATGCTCACCTTGTATCTCAACTTGACATGTAGTCTTACTGGATGCTGTTCCCCCACAAACATATTGCAGAAATTTCAATGCAACAAGCCTCTGGGAATCATCAGTGGTGCATTGTTGGATTCTGCTCCTGGGCTCAGCATCTTCTAAGCAACAAAATCCTTTCTCTTTCCAACATGAGGGGAAAAGCAAAAATAATCACATCATACTTTCCTTCCTAGAACACACAGTTTAGCTGTGTCTCTGTAATGGTTCCGCTTTCCATATGAAACTTGCTCATGAGGCCTTTAACTGCAGCCATGTACCTTGTGAATGGAGCCTCCAGAGGTAAGTGGCTGTCTCTGGCATGTCGGGGCAGGTGACCCAGACGTTGCCTAGTTACTAGCAACACCAACCTCCGACCCCCTTCCTAAACCTGGAGTTGAATGGTTTTCCAGCTCTTTGAAGTAGAGGGATCGGGTGTAAATAATTTATTTTCCTGCACACAGCTGACACTTTTTTGTCGAGCTGGCTCTAACTTGTTGAAGCAATGTCTAAAGGCGATAAATATTGAATGGTTGTGTGATTTACACAATTGAGCCAAACTGAGAAGAGCTGTGGTTTCACTATGATGGCAGAAAGTTGGTGTCAGCACATACTAGGTAGAGACTTTTGTTAACATCTCTTGTTAAAATACTAATTCAGTATGTTATTTAAAGGTCTTCTAAATGTATGGATTATAAGATGTGAGGGGTTTTATCAGGTAACTCAAATTCACACATAAAAAATGTATCAACTTTCAAAGTGCTTTTTAGCTTGGCACTCCAATGTGTCTAAACCTGACACACACTATAAAGAAACACTGTCTTTACTGTAACAGGGAGCAGACATAGTAACATCAACACTTGTGCAGCGTAATTCAAACTAAAAGAAAAGCCACGCAAATATTACTACTGCTTTGAAATTTAAAATGCTTTTGTTGACACCGTGTCATGGAAGGAAATCCACCGAGGTGTTCCTGACATTACAAGTACAAAATAATGTCCAGTTCAAACTGACAGTCTCAAAAAAGACTGGGATTCACAAAGATATATTGCAAGGCTTTTCATTGCAATTTTATTTGACTCTAGCCAGTTTAAGGGGAGTAGGCAAACTGCCTGACTCAGTCTGGGACAGTCACAGGTTCACAGGTTAGAAAAGCGGAATGCAGCATTAGCACAGGCGGTATACTGTACGTGATGTCGTTGTGTGCAGGGCTTTAACCTTGCATGCTAATCTGATGACAGCAGCAAGCACATGCTACCAAAGAAAGAGTGACAGGCTATAGGCTGGGGGTGGAATTAATACAAGAGACTAGTTCTTGTTATGCTGTATAAGTGTTACTCCTGGTGTAACAGCCTAATATTAAGCCTAATATACTGTAAAAGCAGTGTGCTTATAATGCCATCTGTCACTGAGTAGGCTCATTTTCACCCCTATATTTCTTATACCTGTGAATGGTATTTTTTTTTTTGCTTTTTTAGTTTATCTGTGATCCATGCTTCTATTTACACCAATGAAAAGACCATATCTATGCTGCCATGTGACCAATACTTTCTTTGCAAGAAAATCTTTGCATTAGCTATAGGCAGGGGCCAAACAGGGTGAGTATGTTGGTCTGACCGCTATCAAGCTCTTAGCAGATATTATCTTCCCATCAAATGTCACTGGAGACAAGTGAAGCAGGTCTGCAGCTTCATTTATGAAAAGTGATTAAATTACATTTGATTTTGGAAACATCTGTAGCAAGACATGACTGCCAGTCTCATGTATTCCAACCAGAATTTCTAAGTGAAGAAAGAGACCCAGGCTTTGGGCTTAGTTCCCTTAGATGACCTGGTTTCCCTGGAATATGATCATGTTTTCTTAAGCCCCCAAGTTTGCATTACACAATAAAACAAACTGTAACCAGTTAGAGTTATCTATCCATCCAATCTGAATAGGGTTGTGGGGCAGCTAGTTAGTTCAGGCTAATCAGTACATTTATTGTGTACTCAGTTTTTGAGGCATCTGCATTTTGTCCATGGCTATGAACGCAATGCCTGCACCATAAACCAGGACTCTGCACAATCTGGAAAGGTGAGCCAAAGATCAACCTGACAAAGAAATGCTAGTAGATGCATTTATAACTGAGCCCTCAGGGCTTTGCAGGTACACCGGGACCCTCACCCTCAGTGAAAGCACCTCAACTGACAGCCTAAATGCATACTGGGAATTCTGGAATCAGCTGGAGAGAAGGTGGTGAACTGAGCACATTATTTTTGCATTGTTCCTCTCTAACTGTGCCCACACTTGTCTTTAGAGTGCAACATGCCAGACTAGTTCTGCAAAGAATTTGGTGTTTCTATACCACACATGAAGCAAAGTCCTGTTTTTGTCACAGCTCTGACTGATCTGCATGCCTGCAGAACTTCCTTTCATACATACTGAAACTGTTCTACATGGTATACGACTGTTGGACAAAACCAGTGGATGACTCAGGGGCTCTGCACAGCAATGTTGGTAAATATTCTGAGCAGGACTTTCCCCAAAGTAACTAATATTACTGTATGTCATAACAACAAAATAATCTTGCTTGCATGTTTTGGAGGACATATCCAGTTATGTTGTCTATGCACCGTAACACTAAGCACACCAAGCTTGGCACCTGATAAACATCCCACTGTAGTGTTATAGTGAAAGCACAAACTTACTTCCAAACCTTCACAAACACAATATGTAGCACAAGGGGTTGTTATTTCTATAAATAGCACTGGCTTCATGCACAACACTTTGGCTACTATTACACATCAACAAGCAAAGGCATCATCATGAGCTCTGAGCTTGTCACATGTGCCTAAGCATATCATACAAGCAGCACAGATTGTGTGTACATGTCAAATGCTCACACACGCACGCACAAACATGGATTCATACCTATCCATGTCAGTTAGAATCAGTGGGTTTGGTCACCGTTTTTCAACCCTATGTCATATGTTTTCCTGTTTTCAATAGGAGGATGTGGTTAGGTTCTTCTGTATTGTGCAGAGCTGCACACAAGCAATTTTTCACCCACAATGCTAATAGCCCACTCATGTACTGGCAGAAACAATGACCGTAATATTTACCAGAAACAGCATGAACAATAGATTCACATAATCATAAAAATGAGGATTCTAAATAATGTAGAAAATTTAACAGCAGCAATTAAGGAAAAATACTGACAATGGAGCAACAAAAAACATAATACATAATCTTTACGTAGTGTAAAAATATCACAGAGATTAGTATACTGAGTCTACCAGATGGAGATAAGGCCACGCATGGCAGCAAGGCCCAAGGAGATTCAGCAAGGAGACATGACTAACGAAAGTATACAGGGCTGTGCTGCCCCCTGTTGGTGGATCTCTGCCAATGGAAGAACCCTCAGTGACCGACATTACACCTGCTCCTCAAAATAAATAAGAATGAATTAGTAATAACATAATTCATCTATATGCATTCTCAACTTTAAACTGACTTGCCAATTTTAAGTCTGACCTTTTATTGCCTCTAAATGTCAAAACCTGACAAATCTGCATTAGTATGTGCCTGGCATATAACAAGTAAGTAGGAAAAGGTCAGGCAAATTAGGGAAGAAAATATTGTCTTAATTTAAATAAGTGAACAAAACACTGTGTAGCAAACAGGGCGAATGCAAGGGAGTGTAAACAGGATGTAATCACAAACTGTGGTTTAAAAGGTTGACTCTGCAGAACACAACTAAACCAGCAGCTGAATTATTATATATTTATTGAACAATGTTAGGTATGATAGGGCTCTCCATGTAGGAACTCTAATATTACAGTATAAAAATTTAAAAAGTACAAATAGCAAGGACAAGACAAAGCATGGTATACAACATCCAGAATAAGACAAAAAATTCATCATGGCAGTATTTTCAGAATAGTTTGATTTCCCCCCCAAAACTAATGTAAATGTAAAAACTATTTTGGAGATTTTAAATCAGAAGCATTCCCAATTACGGGGATGAATGTAGTGATTTCTGGTCTTTCATTAGGGTTTTATTACTTTAAAGTAACTGACACAAACTTCTGAAAAAGGCAAAAATACAAGTCCATATATTTATGAAGTACAAAATATGAAATGTACAAAATAAATGTAAAATAATAAAGGCAGGCCAAAAAGCCTTTTACAGTTAAAATGGCCACATATGACTCTTCGAGTTATACTGAAATGCAAAGGAGATGACAGATAAGTGGGTGTTCCTACGTATCCCATGCTGCCTTAAGGCTGGATTGTGCTACACAAAAATCATTCCTCATTGGATGAGGTCAGGACAGGGGTATGTAATATCAGATATGGTGATCTGATGGAGGTTGCTACGTGTAAATGGTCAGTACGTGTCCAATATGTAGTGCATGTTATACTGATCTTAAAAGGGATGTGGGGTTGGAGTTTAGTCCTTTGGAAGACTGCGGCTCGTCAGCTGACTTCCTCAAGTCCGTTTGAGCTTGTCGATGTGGAACGTGAGTTTGAGGGCTGGGCCGAGTTTCAAGCCCATGTATTTCATCATCATGTCACTACGTAGCAACAGGAGAGCTTTGCCATCAATCTCCTGTAACAGATAAAGGGATTCACACCTGTTATTTCACAAAATTGATGACCTCACTGATTGAATGCCACACTGCTATTTTTTTGAACACACCCCTTTCAACTAATTGCCCAATTGCACAGCCTTGCATATCATGAATGCTGGGTCTTGTTTGCTTTCTGAGAATCTACTGCACCTACTGGTAACTTGTTTGCCATGTAGCAATAAAAAATATACTAAAAACCTGGATTATTCTGGTTAGTCACATTGTACTGCTATTATTTTGAACAATACTGTACATTTTATTGTGCTGTAGATTTTATTTTAAATGGATGCAACAGCCATGTTGTACCCTGCCTCTTGCCCAATGTCAGCTGGGATCGGCTCCATCTCCCTGCCATCTACAGAATGAGCAGTATAGCTAATGAATGGATGGAAACCAAAAGCTGTTTGGCAGTTTCAAAGGGAAAAAAAGTTATTAAATATAAAATTACATTTTTTTATGTAGATTTTTTAAATACTGTATATCATCACCATCATGAGTGAATACATACATGTTTTCTGAATAGGTCAGCATGTGGAGCTAAAACTGGGTCGATATCTCTGATATACCGCATGACATCGTCCACTGTCCACAGGCTGGGGTCCTGACCACTGGGCCTCGGGCTCTCCCGGAAACTGCCAGAGCCTGAGGAAGCACAAGGACAAACTCAAGCATCCATAAGCAAAGCTATTTCATGTACCTAAATAAAGGAACCACCAACAGATCAAGCACCACAGTTCATCTGAACTTGAAAACTCTATAAATAAAAAGCAGAATATATCATTCAAAATGTACAACTGCATGGACTGTACATGCAGACAAATGTGTGAACACATCTATGTATGTAGACACTGAATGTCATAAAACAGAATCATCCACTGTTAATGGACTATGAATTCCAGCAGTCTGGGGGCTTCAAATCTGGTAATGTTAATCATTTTCTAAAGCTATAACCCTTGCAGCTAAATAATTTCTTTATTAGATATAGCACAAATTATCAAAGGCCTAATTAACAACCTTAACAAAGGTACTGTTAAATCCTACTTACAGTTTATTCGGTAGGATTCTTCTGATTCTACACCATGCTCAAACAGCATTGTGTGAAATGAATGCAGCTCCCCTATTCAACTGTAACGGGCCTTTTCAGCAATGCAGCAGTGGTGCCAACGCAGAGGTCTCCAGCAAAAAGAATGGTGGATCTGGCAAAGTTCCTTGTTGGTCAAATAAATATGGGCAAGCGCACATTCCTTCCTAGTTACTAACATGAACGCAGTTTTTCTGCTCTTTACCTTGTGATCTTTAAAATGAAAGACAAAATGATTGCTACCGCAGTAACTCTGCAGGGTGAGAAGGTCAGAATCGTAATCAGCTTTGACTCTGGTATAGTGGCTCTTGATGTGTATGTACAATGTTCTTCCATAAAGCAACAAGTAGACGAGTGAACAAGCTCTTGTGTCAGAGTATTATGAACCACTGCAGTGTTCTAGTGCCTGGACAGCCTTCAAATGCATAACGATCTGTTATTCAAACTGGACTCTTTGGATCATATTTCATTTGCTTGTTGTTATCGGAAGCAATGCCCCAGAATCCCTGTGCTTTTTTTTTTATGTAGAGCTGTTTTGGTCTGATTGCCCACATTGGAGCATTACAGTCAATCACTGTAAACAATGGCAATATTTCCTTAGCCAGTGTTTCGCACTACCTGTAGAGCTGTTGTGATGCAGCAGCCTAGAGGGAGACCTTAGGCCTGGTGTTTGTCCCGTTGAGTTCGGACAGAGAGGGCTCTTCTTTATGTGCTCTGATGTGGCAACTCTGCTCTCCACGAAGGACTCGCCTGGCGAGAACAGACAGAAACCCTCCCAGTGAGACACATCAACACACTGACGCTTACACAATTCCAAAATAACAAAAGGAGCCATCAGTTAAGAAATTCAACATAGTAAATACTGAATGATTAAAATGCTAAATACAAAAAAAATTACAAAACTGATTTAATTCTTTGATATATTTCAGTGTTATGCTTGTAACTCTCATAAATATCTATTTGGTGATTTGATGTGTGTTCTAGGCTTCTGTAAAAGTGGAATGCCCTTTAGAGGAGGATATTACCCTTTAACATAAATCTCATCAAAGATCACATTAACTTAATTAAAATCTAAGAAAACTGAAAGATGATTAAATACTTAACCTCCTGCTCCAGAACCTAATCCTACTTGCTCCTGAGCCAAGAGCTTCTTTTGTTTTAGTAGCACCTTCTATATACTTGTATAAGGCTTTACTCGACAGCTCAGAGCAGTACGTTTTTATAATTAAATGCTTAATAGAAAATGTGGTGAATTAGAGCTGAGAGCCACACATTATATTAGTAAATTCTATACGCAGGTGGAAGGCTTTTGGGTTCACAGATTATCAGTCACCTTAACTTTGAAGAGTCCTGGTGGTTAAATAAATCTTTCACTGGCTTGGTTTTGTTCTCCAGTGTGAATTGTGAGACCAATCAAGCTCTAGACACATCCAGGATAATTAAGGTAAGCAGGAAATGTGCACACAAACAACACAAAGTGTGCAAAAATTACTAAACACTTTCAGAGGCCGGTGTATACAGATACAACAAATTATTACTATTGATAGCCTGTCATTAGAAGTGATAATACTGTGCCTTGTTAGGGGAAAGCGAACTAGTCATAATATTCAAACACAGAACTGATATTGCTCTTTGTTTCAGATATAACTAATTCTCATAATACCGATGTCTACAGTCAGAGGAATATTTTTTATAACCTTTATAAATATAAAAAACAACACTAAAATTACAAGAGTAACATACCATCAATGGAGTGCCGGGGTATTTTGACCAGGTTCTGGGGAAGGGGACTTCTGTAGTCCTGGAGAAACCTCTTGGTGCCCCGGCCTGGGCCCGTTGTCAGGCTGTCACCAAAACCTCTCCTGTCTAGAACCAGTACAGATAACCAGAGGGCATAACTACAACTGATACAGTCAGAGGCAGGAAAGGTACAGATAAGTGGATCAGACTGTATCATTTGGTTAAAATTATATAGAACTATTCTTTGATCAAAGACTCTACAACAAAGAAATGAGATTTGTTTTGTATTTTAGCTACAGGAAATATAGAATAAACTGTAAAAGCATTTACACTTTTTAACACAGGCAAGGCATGTTTTACCTTTAACCCTCAAAAAATTGGTAACTTTTATCAAACTAGAAGACAATCAGCAAGAACACTCAGTCAGCATCCTGAAATGGAGGTCGTAGCCATCAGGGGCGTAAATCACCAGTTTAGTCATGATATGACCTTATACTGATTCACTTAGCCAATAGTCCAGTGTTTGAGAATACGCAGAACCATGACCTGATGCAATTTCGATTTGGGGCCTGCGATCAATATGAAATGATACAGTATTATGTGCCTAGTTTACTGTGCTCTTAAGGTCTGATGAAGACCTTTCAATTAAACATAAACTTTGACTACTGACACTGGAAGCATGTACAAGGTCACACATACAAAAAAGCTGGAAAAATGTTCATATTTCATGCACTGCAGTAGAATTTCCTTTAAAACTTCACACACAAGTAAGCTAATGGAAATCCAGATAAATATCTGATTACCACACCTGACAGTAATGAGACAACTGACACCCTAAGTACGTAAAAAGTGATATGTGCATGCTAAAAATACAAAATAAAAGGACTTCTTGTAGGTTTACAGGCCTCCTCCTTTCTTTGTCTCCTGTATATTATCAAAATGAAGACATGAACACACAGTGCGAGAGACAGCACTGACCTGTAGTGTATGGGTGACTATCACAGTGCAGAGCTCCTCTGGCTACAGGCTGGCTGCCAAACAGAGGATCGCAGTGCAGGTTGTGGCAGAGTTTTTCTAGGAAGCGGAGGACGTAGGTGACACTGCTGACTGTAGGCAGGGTCAGGGTGCGCTGCTGCTGGTCAAAGAAGGCTAGAGGGTACAAATGAGGCAAAGGACAGAATCAAATGCAGTGCTATATTCTCCTCTAATGGAAGGTAAACAAAAAAATTAACTTTTTTTAACAAAGTGTAATACCCACCTGAAATGACTTCGCCACCTTGTCCAGACTTGAGGCAGGCAAACACTGTGCCCTGATTGTGGGCAGAGTCCACACAAGCCTGGACACACTGCTGAAGCACCGAAGAGGCTCGGCCTGGCCCAAAATGGTCTGGGAGTTGCTGGATACGCCGCTGATCCAAATGGGGACCCACTTTGCCGTACTTGTTAAGGTACACACAAACTAGGGGGCAAAACAACAAGCAGAGGAGTCAGCATTGAAGGTTACACAACCAATTTGATCCATTACATCTACATCTAATTTTCTTACAGGAACACAATGCTCATTTTAGAAGCGGTTAATCTTATTTGCTATATTTGCCAAGATTCTTCAATTAACAGAGCAAAACCAATCAACAGGGATCATATTTTGGCTCTACTTTGCCACTAATGTCAAACAAAATGTTTCTATCAGATTGTGCTACCAACACGGCACAAAGACTTTGACAGAATGAGCCAGAATGATGTACTGAACATCCCAGACAATTAAACCATAATAAATGGTGTGCTGCATGTCTGTGGACATCATGTACCTGTGGGAGCCTGTAGTGCAGAGTTGGGGATGGTGGCATTGTCCAGAGGCACAGTGCTGGTGTCAGGCTCTGGGGTGCTGCTGGTGGGAGATGTGGGGACTGGATTAGGTACCACGCGTGGTTTTCTCTGGATACAAGCACACAAGCGCGCACACACACACACACACACATACATACATCTTACAGCATTTGTCTCTTTACTGGTCCATTACCATCAGGACATTTGATGGGAACAGTTCATAATATAGCATCAAATGTGACTCTTATAGTGTACCTAGTTATTATTTATTACAAATGTCGTCCAGTAAATGTAACAAGGTGTAACACTGGAAAATAAAACAAAGAAACCAGCATTGTTCATCTCTCCTCAGTACAACACTAGATCCTAGTTAGTGCAGCTACCTGCTTTGCAGGCATATAAACTAGGTGTTGCCAACATTTGTAGTAGACTTTTTTTTTTTTTACTGTTGCCGCCTTTGAGATGGAAACCAGAATCTCTCCATCTCCCTAACTTTGTTTTCTCCATAATATTACAGAAGTTGACAATCTCCCAATTAAATAAAGAAACTCACTCCATACTTCTCTGTCACCAAAAAACAATCCTTCTAAAAAAATTTGACCTGCCACAGTTTTATAATAAACTAAAAATATTTTTACATTTCTCATAATAATATGAAAATCTCTTAAAGTTCTGTTTTGAGCCATTGCTTAAGAAAAGCCAGTCATTTAGCCCCACATTAACAATGTAGGACAGCAAACAGATCAAGTTACTGTCAAAGTTATCAATAATGTGCAGCTCTGACAACTTAACTATTCTCAAGTTCAGAGCATTGACTTGGTCAGCCCCTCACTGCCCTGGTTTCTCTCTCTGTCTCACAAACACATCGACAACAAATTGTCTGTGGACAGCACTTTCTGTGTCTATGTTCTTAACACAATGCTGTCTATAGTGGAGACACAACTGTTTAAATAAGTTATTATCAAGCATGTGAGGAGCTAAGCTAAGCTAATGTCATTATACAGCTGCATGTTGAGTTTGCATGCTGTACATAGCTGTTAGTCAATACAGACTGCTTATGCAGGTGGATGACGATGTTAATTTTTTAACTTTGACGCTGAATATTTGCTCCCTTAGCGCAGACAAACATTTTCCAAGACTCAAAGGGCCGGCCCTGAGGAGGCACAAACATAGCCTGGGTCAGAAGTATTAGCAGAGTTAGAAACTTAAGAAAACATGTGGGAAAGCTAAACAGTTGTTTTGAATGGTGCTATAGGCTTTAACCAGTGCTGCTCAAGGTGAGGAAGAGATACCTGTAGCTAATGAAGAGATAGATGTAGAGGAGGTCAACAGCCAACAGGTCAGATGGATGATATTATTTAATACTTAACTAATACAAATACTAAAATGTGGGGGGTGTACTTCGATTTACATGACTCCCACGTGTTTTCCAGTGTAGGAAACACTGCAGTCACTGCATCTAAAGGTTTATTTAGATAGATAAATTAGATAGATCAGAAACCATCTTAAGATACCTTGCTTGGAAAACACAAACAAACAGCATGGTATTAATATATACAGTACACCCTTCTCATATAGTCAAATGCTATATTGTGATATTCTGTGGTCCAGAAATGCCTGTGTTAATGTGTATGTACTGGACGGCCACCTTGCTGCCAGGCTTGGGCCCTCTTTTCTTTGGGATCTTAATAGGTTCTGCCTGGGTCTGGGCCTGCTGCAGAGCTATCCTCTGTGCCCAGCTGGCAGGCAGTCTGCCTCTGGTTCGCCCTGGGCCTGTCACTGGCCGGCCTGGGCCGGCCATGGCATCTTCCAACCAGGCAGCTCTCTTGGCCCAGCCCAACTGTTAGGAAAAAGCAAAGGAGTCAGAGTCAGGAGGGGCTAACTCTTTATACGGTGATGCTCCACAGTAATAATGCTCCCTCCAACAGGTCATGAGATATGCTACAAGGTTCAAAATGTTTTACATGCAATCAAGTCTGTCATTGTAAAACAACTCAAGTACTAATGCTCAGAGGTGAGCAAAAAGATGCTGTGTTACAGAAAATACTTGTTCTAATAAGTAAAGCCAACACTTATTTAAAAGTCGGTTCACTCATTTACTCTCTACATCTAATACTGCTTAATCATGCAGATGCAATAGGTTTTGTTTGAGTACCCAGTTCTGAGATATACAGTATTGTGCAAAAGTCTTAGGTAACTATTAGATTTTTGTTTTTAATAGTCTAAGAAAGTCACTTTCTGATTTTCCCGTTTAGGGGTCGCCACAGCGAATTGTCACACTGACGACTCACATGTTGACATTTGGGACGTGTTTTACACCGGATGTCCTTCTTGATGCAACCCTGATTCGAACCCGGGCCACAGCAGCGAGAGTGCTGCGCCTTAACCACTAGTCTACATACAGTATTTCCTATATTTTCTAGTTGTATTATGATAAATAAATATATATAGTCATCATAACATTGCTAAAACAAAAATACAAACAAACTGTATAGTCAATTTGTGGTTTTCGAGCTGTTATAAAGAAATATGAAGAATTCAAAGAGGTCAAGGGCAAACATAGGAGTGGTAGACCAAGAAAACTGTCAAAATCTGAAGTTTCTCAGAGTTTCTTCTTTGAGAGACAGGGGGAAATCCAGCAAGGACCTAGCTCAGCATCTGGCAGGTTCCTCTGGATGCCAAGTTGATGCTTCCACAGTCCACAGAAGCTTGATCAGGAATGACCTTTGTGGGAGGACAGCAGCCAAGAAATCACTTTGTCAGAAGTGGGACAGGGAGACAAGGCTGAGATATGCAAAAGCTTGCAAAGACTGGAGTGAAGATTAGTGGTAAAGGGTCTTATGGAGTTAAGTTTGAAATGTCTGGGTCCAGTCTTCAACAGTATGTAAGAAGAGTTGGAGAGAGGTGGAAGAAGGAGTTCGCTCGCAGCCTTCAGTGAAACATGGTGGAAGGTCTGTCATGGTTTCAAGACAGTCTCCCCCAAAAGAATTCAAGCTGTGTTCAGTACAAAAGGAAGTCACACTAAATACTGACTCTGGACTGTAGAAGCCATTTTGCTCTAAATGTTGTGTTTTTTTAATATTGTGTACATATTTCCTGTATTTTCTGGTTATTTCTTGATAAAGAGAGTGATACATAAATATCCTGATGAATGATTTTTCACATCTTCTACATTTTCAAGTCCTTGAACAAATTCTACAACTATTAAAATGCCTCCAAGAGGGAAAAGAGCTAATAAATCAGAAGTGAATGAGGATGTTGAAGCAGAAGAGGATTATATTTCAGCGGCGCAAGTAACAGAGATGTTGAGTCAGCAGAAACAAATTTACATCGCGCTGATGAACCAACAGCAGGAAAACTTCAAAGTCTTCGTGCAACTAC